CCCAGTCCTCCCCATCGGGGGCTCGTACCCCATTCCTCCCTCACCTCCTTCCACTTACCCCTCCCTAGCCCCCCTTCCTGATGTACAAAATAAAGGACACGTGTGTTCAAAAATAGAAACTCTCTTTATTGAACAAAACTCGGGGAGACTGGGAAAAGGAGGTGGGAGAGGGGAGGGCAATTACCATGATGAGGGGTTTGGAACAGGTCCCATATGAAGAGAGGCTAAAGAGACTGGGACTTTTCAGCTTAGAAAAGAGGAGACGGAGGGGGGATATGATAGAGATCTATAAAAGCATGAGTGGGGTGGAGAGGGTGCATAAAGAAAAGTTCTTCATTAGTTCCCATAATAGAAGGACTAGAGGACACCACACAGGAAGAAGTATAGCACAGCTGGGCTACGTCTAGACAGCAGAGCTATTTTGGGTTACTGTAGTATCCAGAAATAGCTATTCTGTGTCTTTAAACATGTCCGTTATTTCAAAATGTATTTTGAAATTACAGGTGGGCTATTCCAGTGTCCCTATAACCAGGGCCGGCTTTTGGCAGAGGCAGCTGACACACTCCTCCGGGGCCAGCAGGGGCAGCAGATTTGTATAATTTTTGGTGGTGCACCATTAGCCACACCCCTTGACCCCTGTTAGCTACACCCCGACCCCCATTAGCCACACTCCCTGACCCCCATTAACCAGGCCTCTGGAGGTGACATGCTCGGGGCAAGATGGACACATGACCAGAAGTAAAAGGTGTCATGTCACCCCTTTCGAAGGACTTTTCTCACCATCCTCCTACCAACAGGGATTAGTCTGGCCCCCACCAAACCCCTTGCTTGCAGCTATCCTGCAGTCACATTAACCCAAGCATATTTGTATAATTTTTGGTGGTGCACCATTAGCCACACCCCTTGACCCCTGTTAGCTACACCCCGACCCCCATTAGCCACACTCCCTGACCCCTATTAACCAGGCCTCTGGAGGTGACATGCTCGGGGCAAGATGGACACATGACCAGAAGTAAAAGGTGTCATGTCACCCCTTTCGAAGGACTTTTCTCACCATCCTCCTACCAACAAGGATTAGTTTGGCCCCCACCAACCCCCCCCATGCAACTATCCTGCAATTGCATTAACCCAATGTGTATGACATTAACTCAGGGGCAGGGAGACTGGGGGAAGTGTTCCCTCTAAGGCTATGTCTACACTTGCAGCTTTTTGCGCAAGTACAACCGTTCTTGCTCAAGAACCTACAGAGAAGCCACACTGCCCACCTGCTCTTGTGCAAGGAAATTTACAGTACAGAGTGGTAAGAGGGTGTCTTGCGCAAGAGCGCTTTTCTAACAGTCGTAAGCTCTCTTGCGCAAGAGGGCAGTGTGGATCCTCGGCAGGGATATCTTGCACAAGAAACCCCTATGGCTAAAATGGCCATCGGAGCTTTCTTGCGCAAGAGTGTCCACACTGCCATGGATGCTCTTGCGCAAAAGCACAGCTTGCACATAGCAGTGTGGATGTTTTCTTGTGCAATATGTTATTGTGCAAGATGCTGCCAGTGTAGACATAGCCTAAGAGTTTCCTCCCATGAGCAGAATGGATTTTGTGTTGTGCACCTATACTGAGTTCATGTTGCTTGTTTGGATGTTCCACTTTGGCACCCAAGTTATTAATAAATATTTTATAAACCTTTACCTTTTCTCTCTGCTGCCATGTCTCCTCCCCTTTCTCCATCAGCTCCTCTGGTGCCTGGTGCCCCCCAACTCCTCACCCTCCTCTGCTGTCCTGACTCCTGCCCTTTCTACTGCCCTCA